GGCATTATTTTGCACAAAAGTTTAATCATTCTTGTCCTCCCAGTGCCTAAGGGCATTTCATTACATAGAGTAGGGCTTCAATATTCTTAGAAGAGGTGATTGATTCATGTATAAGAATGATTGATTAAAACTTTTAAATTCCCCCTCTGAAAAGCATCACACCCGTGAAGAGTGCCTTAAGTAGGGCAGGGCAAAGCCTGAAGGTCTGTGTTCATCCACACCTGCTGTATTATTTAATGTCATTTGGCTCTCCAAGGCTTGACTTTTCTTACTAGTATCTATGGGAATTGCTGTGACCCTCAAATAAGATAATGTATGTGAAAACATCTGTGAAGGTAAATTGTTTTATCCATGTTATTTAGCATTATCCTTGTTATCACTAAGAGAAGAGACACTAGATCTTTGGGAGAGAGAGATAAGAGGGAAAATGCCTGGCTTCTCCAGCAATGTAAGGTAGTATTACTCAGTAAAACTAAATAAAAATAAACATTTGAAAGTGATCTGAAATATGTTTCTTATTCATATGCCAGTAGCTTAAGAGACTTACACAAAACATTTAAATTACTTCAAATAGCTAGATGCTCAATTGCCTAAGATAAGTGGGGTCACACTTGCCCTCTTATGTTCTACTTGAGCACAATGATCAAAGATGGATTCATCATGTTTACATATTATAGAATACTAGCAGCCCAATGCACGAAATTTGTGCACAGAAGAAAAAGAGTTAGCGTTAGTTACAGCCCTCACCGAACAGAGTACACTGCATCTGTTACATACAACTGCCTCGTTCATGTGCCTGCTTTGCCCTACTGAATTACTAACATCTTGAGGACATAGCTCTGTCTTATCCTGCTTCACCTTCAGTTCCTGGCCTGGTGCCAGGGACCTGAGAGGGTTTGCTGAGTGAGTGAATAATGAGTGAGTAAGTGAATGAGTGAATGAATGAGCGAGTAAGTGAATGAGCAAGCAGCTACAGGGAGGGAACTTCTGCTGTGTTGTCATGGCGACATGGCAGAAGTTCCCGCCCTGCTCCCAGCAGTGGCTCAGCACCCCTCTCCCCGCTGCTTAGTTCCTGCTCCCAGCAGTAGCCTGGCACCCCTTTCCCAGTTGCTTAGTTTCTGCCCTGCTCCCAGCGACCCAGGCCCCCAGCCACTCCTTCAGCAGAGGCCAGGGCAGGCAGGAAGCTTGGCTTCCTCCATCACAGGGGCAACCAAGCCTCCTGCTTGCTCCAGCTCCATGACTGCCTGCCACCATCTTGGTTGGGTTAATTTGCATATAGTCGCTCTGATTGGCTGGTGGGTGTGGCTTGGGCATAGTGAAGGTATGGTCAATTTGCTTGTTTGACTTTTATTAGATAGGATTAAATATGTGGTTACTCATTTATAAAAACATACACATTAACCCATCAAATTTATTGATTAATAAGAGAGTTCCATGAAATTACAACAATAAAGATGACGCCAAATCTTCCAACAGGAGAAAATGTATCCTGAAAGGTACTACACACCTGCAAAACACTTTATTGAAATTCAAACCATGAATGTGAAAACTGGAGAAAATTGAGCAGGAAAACAATCTTCAATCAAAGCGTTTTTAGAAGGTATGAAGATCAAAGCCATCATTTTTCATTATAGGGAAGATAAAATACAAATAGGGGAAATGGGTCACCCAATGTCATCCACCTGATGAGTGGCATGACTTTGGACTGAAGCCCTGGTTTTCTGACTCTTAATTTAGTGCTCTTTTCTCTATATACCCTTTGGGTTTCCTGTCTCCTATCCAGTGTTCTAAGCTCACTGCTTTGCAACAGAAAGGAAGGTAAGAGAAGACAGGAAAGGAACATTCCTCCACTCCAGAAGGTTTTAGACAGGAGGTTGAACAGATAAAATGTGTTTGAAAGTTTTCCTTTAAACTGTTCATGAATCACTAAAAACTAAATAGGACTTAGTGTATGCAAGCAACCCACACCATGTAAAAAAGCTTTAATATTCCAGCTGTCAGATTAGTTTAGGAAAAAATGTAACTTGGAAACTCTCCAAGGAAACCCCATGGTTTGGCACAAAGCAGAGAGTCATTATATAAAGGAGTTGCAGACTAAATGACCTAGTGAGTGACAGAATGCTTTCTTTGTAACTGGTTGTCTCAATGTTGTCTTATAGGCAAAACCGGAGGCTATTAAACCAATACGTTGGCTAAAATTTTGGATATAGTGGATGTTCCTGGGACCTATGTTTGCACACATGCGTATCCACAACTTATGAGGCAGATTTATATTAGAGCATCTCAGAAGAGACCGCAAGAATCACCTGCAACTGGCCAGCCCTCTGCTCAATATGAAAAATCCTCCTTCTGACGAGTGGCAAGTTCAGTTTCAGGTGCTCAAGCTCTCACAGGTAGGCCAAATGCTCCATTTGTACAAGGCAAGTCAAGATGTTGGGTTGAATTCTTCCCCACTCCACCCCAGACTGGAGAGCTTAATAGTACATTGACTAGTACTTGCAACTATTTTTCACAGTGTATGTGGAATCCTGACTTTGAGGGTTTTGAAAGGAACACATATACCATCCAGTTGCACTCCAACCTCCAACTGACTTCTGAATGCCCTTTACAGCATCATTTCCAAGGATCTTGGATGTTAGACCCAGGTATTTAACTATATATCTACAAATAGACAAACTGCAGGTAAGTGCATGTGGGTTTCTATCTGGGAGTGATAAAACTCTCTGGATTAGAGTCTGGAAATCTGGGTTTCCATCTCAGGCCTATCACTAACTAGCTTGGTGACCTCAAGCAAATTTATTTAACCCTTTCAGGCCTCAGTTTCCTCACATGCAAAACACAGAGCTTGTACTGGATAATTCCCAAGGTCCTTCTATGTCTGTATTCATCTTTATGTAACTTCCCCTACTTTCTCTGTTTTGTAAGCTTATCCCTTTTTCACCACTTCTGAGCCAGCCCAGCTCTGGCATGCTCAGGAAAGGTCATTAATAGCCTCACTGACTCTGTTATCATCTAAGTTAGTAGATGGTGTTGTGTAGGAGCCAGATTTCCCCTAAATATCTCAATAAGAGTGAAACCAACAATTAGTCATTGCCATGAAACCCAACACATGAGTACAAGCTAGAATTGCATGCTTATCAGTGTTTATATTCAAAATATTTTGCTCAAGTGCCCCAGTCTCTATATTAGATAACCCCCAATTCTCTGCGTGCAATAATTAACATACTGTAATTCCAAGTGAAAGTGTATTTTATTTTGAATTCTACATTCCCAATCTGTTGCCTAGTATAAATATTATAGTATGTAATATGTAAATATTAAAATTTAACTTTAACAAGTTGAGTCACAGTCATTGGAATTCAGCCAAGATTCTCACACTTTTTCATTATTTCCAAAGTAAGTCCAATTTAAGAAATGCAAACCAGTTCCAATTCACTTCAAAATTTGGCTTAATGCCAAAGAAATTTTAATTAAATTCTGCTTAAGCATTAAACATTAAAGTATTTATATCATTATTAAGTTAGAATTCAAGTTAAATAGAAATTAGTCTTTGGTCTCTCACTACTGGGTTCATAGGCCAGTGAACCCAAGTGATGTTTGCATTTCAATGGAATCCCCGTCTCACAGAGGCAGGGTTTTAAGTAGATACTCAGATACAACATTATCATCTGTGCCTTATCTGGTCCTTATGGCCATAGGAGCAAGGCTCTGCCATGGTACCCTAGAGACCTTGGAAGTAGGTAGAGGCTGGGCTACAGCTGATCTGAGACTTGGTAGAATGCCTTGTGATCATTCTAAAACACAAGAGGACACAAGGCCTTAAGGAACAGCTCTGAGGCCATCTCCCACTCACCTGCTTATATCCTCTGGGAGACTTACCCATTTGAATGGAGCTTCAGAGTAAAATAAAAATCCTTAGCTGAACTCTAGAAGTAATTCTTCAGGAAAGGGATATTCCACAGCTCACTATGCAATCAGTTGGTTCCTTTTCTTTCCCTTTTGTCCTTTTTGGTGTGTAAGACAAGGAAGAAAGGAACTGGGCCCTTTGGTTCTTTCTTCTTTGCACTATCTATGTGCATACTAGACTGGCTAAATCTGAAAATTATACTGCTGTATCTTGTCCAGTTTGATCAGCCAGGCTTTGGTCCTGACCTTATCTTGTATGTGTCTGCTTCACAACAACATATATATATCCTCTCTCCAAACACTTCCTTAAAGCAATCTTCTGCAAAATCATGAGCTTTTTTTTCTTTACTTCATGAGTTTAAGCAGAAATGATTTGTCAATATATTCTCACTACACATTCTTAGACTGAGAAGGGATTTATTAATTTGGTCTGTAGCTTCTTATGGCAGGCAGTCTTTAATCAATATTATCCTCTAGAACCCTGAACTCTAACAAAAAGAAAAGGAAAAAATCCCTAGTGTTCGTAGACTGAGGGGTTGTTGGTAAGGTGGCAGGACACTACTTTCTCTGAGGTAGAAAGAGAGAAGGGAGCTGAAAATCCAGAGATACTTAGAAGTATCCAGAGGCACTATGACAGGTAGAGAGGAAGAAAGATGATTAAACTCTTGCCTAAATGGCCTTGATGAAGAGAAGATGAGTTCACCTGCTAAGAGCTCAGGGGAGAGAGGAGTACCTCTCTTCACAAAGAAAGGAAAGCTCTGGCATGGCAGTTGTGAAGAAGAGATCAAACTGATTCAGGGATTTGCTGAGAAGCAATGAGAGAGAGAGCTTATAAAGGTTAGAAAGAATGAATCTAATCTGGACTCCAGAGCAGTTTTTTCTTATCTTTCTATCCAGTAACCTGAGTGGAAAAAAAATGGCTAAGAGGGCAGGCTGGCTAGGGACAGTAATGTCACATGTCTGAAAGATCAATTCCAGGCTCAGGCATGCATAAGAACAGCTGAACCAGAGGGAAGTGCCCAAGAGAAACTTTCTAACTTTGCCCTATACTGGGTCAGGTAGGAGGAGGAAGGGAGGAGCAAGCTGTCCCTCACCTTATAAACATCTGTCATTGGAGTTTGCACCAGCTGACTTTCAGTTTCCCACCTACAAGAATGAGGGAACTCTTTGAGGACAACAAATAATAGAAATATTTCTCCAAATGCCTTATAATTATACTATAAAGGTAAGTACAAATGTTATTTGCTATATCTCCCCAATCACTGCTTCACTCATTTATCCAGAAAATCAAAACCAAATCATTCCATAAGGTCTCCATTAAAGGCCAATACAGGAATAACACCCTCCTGGGAAATGGCCATCTATGCTTGTTTTGTAGGAAACCTCCCCCTTATCAAGGAGCCTCCCAGGACTGCACAAAGGTCCTTAAAAAAATAAGTCTAATTGATCACCCTGACCACCCCCCGGCCCCAAGGAGCATTCGTGGAGCCTAGTGCTATTGGGGGAACTAGGTTAAATGGGACATAATCAGCTTCAAGGGAAGCAGAGAAGGTTCACAACACTGGCTTGTGGACACTGATTGAAAGAGCTGGGAATATTTTTAGTTTGAAAAGACAAGACTCAGGGCACAAAGAGGCTGTTTTTCAATTTCTGAAGGACAGTCTTGGGAAGAGGGAGCTGACTTGCCAGGGGGCGCTATAGAGGAGAGGGTAGAGAGGGTAGGGTTTGGCTCCCCCAGAGGGGCTCAACTGGTGTTAGCAGGATGGCTGGACTGAAAATTGCTGAGGCAAACAAGAGAATGAGAGCTTGATGATCTTGGGAAGGCTCCACACCTCTGAAAATCTAATTTCCAGATTCTCCAAGGACTCCATGAGCCATATTCACTGTCAGTATGCAATGGAATTCACATTCCATAAAGTACGTGCTTTCCCACAATTCTAGAAGGGTCTGATTGCTTAGCCCAGGACTCCCTTTGCAAAGAACTTAGTAAGAAATCATCATTCTTGTAGCTGAGCTGATTTCTTAGCATTTGCTATGCTTCACTCATCAAACTATATATCAATGTGTCTTTTGTCTTAAGAAAATACATAATGGGATTTTAATTAAATTACAAATTTACATATTACCAACTGGAAATTAATTTAATAAACAATTTGCTTCAATTGATTAATAGGGACAGATTAATGGTGCAATTAATCAAATATTTGACTTTATAAAGTTTTGATTCATTAAATTAAACTAACAATTTGTCACTTGAACGCTTATAAGGCGTTATCTCAAAATTTTACATGTCTGTTGCTTTTCTATTCACAATACTAGAAGCACATGATATGTTGAAAGTACTCTCAGAGGTCAACTGCTTCTGTCCCCTTCATTTATAGATGAGAAAAAAAAACTGAGATCCAGAAAGGTTATCACCTCTTATCCCTCCAACCACTCCAGCCCATACTCACACACACACACACACACACACACACACACACACACTACCTCTTTTCACAGGAGGGCACTTACTATTCATTATGAGGTTTCTATTGCCCTTGGATAATTGTTTTAAAACAGGAAATATTTTGGAAAATGCATATTTTATTTTAATATATCTAATAGGGCTATGGTAATAAAAATTGCATTTATGTATAGTGCAAATGAACCTTCTTCCTATGGGCAATGCTAACACATCAAAAAGAAATTTGAGTAAAACTGGTATCTCACCATACCAAGAAATGCCTACTAGAGACCACCACAGTTCATCCACCAAAGCAGAATTTAGTTTTCCACTACAGTGTAGCAGTTATATCAACCCAGAGGAGGTGCCAAAGACTTGAAGAAACTGCAATTATATATTTACAGCAATTAACATATCATTATGTATAAACATTGCGACCATACCCTTAAAGGCATATCTCATAGCTACCTTCTTTTGTTCTAAAGTTTGAACATGGATGTGAGCACTTTGGCTCTAAGGAAGCCATACATTCACAGCTCTGTGAATCTTTTTATAATGCAAGCCAAAATATGCAACAGAGGAGGCAACACACTCTGCAAATATATTTTCCATATGGCCAAAGCAGTTTGTTTTCTCTTCCTAATTACCATTCTCTGAGACTCACTCACAGTATGTCACATCATTGATCAGTTCCGCTTTTTTTTGGGGGGGGGGTATATTACATTATTAATTTTTCAAAATGTGGCTCTGTCTCTATATACATATATAATAGAAAACCTGCCATTTTAAGCATTTTCAAGTGTTGTGTGGCTTTAAGTACATTCAGAATGGTGTGCGGTCATCACCACTATCAATTTCCAAAACTCTGTTTTCTCCCACTTTCCAGATACCCTTCTGCCTGCCTTCTGGAAAACAGAGCTCTGTAGCTCTGCATCCTGCTTTGACCTTTCTTTTACTATCCCCTTTCCTGACACCTTCTGCTCCTCCCAGCCCCCTAATGATGAATTCCCCAATTCTCTGTTTGTGCATTCTCTCTCTCTCTCTCTCTCTCTCTCTCTCTCTCTCTCTCTCACCCTCTCCAGCACCATACACTTTCACTTCTTCGCCTTAGCCAATCTTAGGACTTGAATGTTACTCTACATAAAAGATCTGCAAATCTTCAGGCCATGATACCCTCCTGAACTCAAGTCCACAAATCTCACCTAGATGAAGGTAATTTCTGCCTAGCCTTCTCAAAATCCATATCATCTACCTTTCCCCCATGCTTGCTATTCTTCCTGTGTTGCTCATTTCTTTCATCAGTTTTAAGAAACTCCCAGTCTGGCCTCATCTCTGACTCCTTCCCCTGACTTGCTCTTGCCTGTGTCACTCCTTCCATCTATAACACAAAAATTCCCAGATCATTTTGCATTCAGAATCCAATCCTTCCCATCATTTCCTACTGTTATTGCCCTAACTCAAGTTTGTGTTACCTCTCTCTTACAAGTATTGGCACATTCTCCTATCTGATTTTACAGTGTTCAGTCTTTTTAGGCCAATGGTTTTGACATGACTCCAGTCTTTCTTCCTAAACTTGTCCCTCACCTCTGCTCTATATATCCTGTGCCCAGGAAAGTTAATTCCCATCCAGTCCTTCTCTATCACCATACTTCCCCAATTTCTCCATCGTTCTGTCTCTGTACTCATATACTCCCACCAGAAAAAAAAAAAAACTTCTTCTACATGTTTTAATATAAAGGATTCCTCTTTCATTAAGTCTTCTCTGATGTACATATTGGAATTTGTTCCCTATAACATGTTCAACAGTAACCTCCAAAATATATGTCCTATGAATGTGACCTTATTTGGAAATAAGGCCTTCGTAGTGTACATGTAATCAGTTAAAGATCTCCAGACAAAAAAACATCCTCGATTTAAGGTGGGCCTAAATCCAATGATTATTGTCCTTATTAAGAAAGGGCAGCCGAAACCGGATCATGCTGCAAAATAAATTCTACATGGACCTGACCAGTTTGGATCAGTGGCTAGAACAGGAGTGGGCAAACTTTTTGGCTCGAGGGCCACAATGGGTTCTTAAACTGGACCGGAGGGCCAAAACAAAAGCATGGATGGAGTGTTTGTGTGAACTAATATAAATTCAAAGTAAACATCATTACAGAAAAGGGTACGGTCTTTTTTTTCAATAGTTTTATTCATTTCAAACGGGCCGGATCCAGCCCGCGGGCCATAGTTTGCCCACGGCTGGATTAGAGTGATGTGGCCATAAGCCAACAAGTATCTGGGGCAACCAGAAACAGAGCCTTCAGAGAATGTGTGACCTGTCAACATCTTGATTGTTGACTTTTGGCTTTCAGAACTATGAAAGAATAAAATTATCTGCTAATTAGGACACCAAGTTCACGAATATCTGTTATGGTGGTCCTAGGAAAATAATAAAGCCCTCAATTCCAGAAATCCTACAGCCTAACTTTCTTTTCCTTTATATCAATTATGGATTTTTATCATCTGCTCTGCCCCATAGACCACAGAACCTGGCACATAGTAGATGTTTACTTAATATTGTTGAAGAAAAGTTAGAGGGCATGGGGGAGGAAGCAAGAGGCCTGAACTAATACCAGTATGGGAAAGAGACCTGCGTATAGGCTGGAAAACAGAAGGCCTGTTTAAATTAACATTCCTTATCGATATTCCTAGCACAAATAACCCACAGAGAGCAAATGGTACAGAGTTGACATTCTAAGGCAATACAACCAGAAGTTAATGTCTCTGTAACCCCATATTCTGTGATTATGAACTTAATAAAGAATAGTGAAGAGAGTTGCCAAACTTGTGGGTTTGTTTTAGGACTACCAATTTTTCAAAAAGAGTATTTTCTTAGAAATTGAAAAGGGAAACTCACATTTTTTAATCCATTTTCTTTTTTTTCCTTGGGCTAACATTATAAAATAAAATAATCAGAGCTCAGTAATGTAGTTCATGCACCTGTGTTTTTTATTTCAAGTTATAACAGCAATAATTACCTCTGAAAGGGTTTTCCCCAGGAATTAAATGACTGATGGGGGTTAATAGCCCTTTGGTTTTGCTGTGGGTCATCAACTACCCCAAGTCTGTCATTAATCCCTATGATATGCCCTGCTAAAACAGGTCATCAGTGTTAACAGTTGTTCATGCTTAAATTTAACAAATGCATTTTACTTTCTCCTAAGTCAGAAAGGCTGAAGGATTCTCTATCTTTAGGAACAAAGACATTTTTTTTCCAATGTGGAAAGAAACTGTGACTTTTTATAGCACATTTATGAAACTTGAGAAATGAAAGAATCTGAAGTCTTTGATGTCAAGTCCAGAGGAGGAATGGCCAGGCAGTGCCGATCACTGAATGAAGTGTATTCAGATTAGTGCAAGGAAAGATGTGATGGATAATGAGGCTGATCCCAGTCCATGTTCTTTCAGCCCCCCAAAGGGTTACCACACTCCTGTACTTTGAAATTTCCTTTTGCTTCTTTGACCTTTTTGGAGGGCAAAGGGAGGTCAAAAGTTACCACCACTAAATGTATCAGTCACTGACAAGATAATCCCACAAGACACATTGCTCTCAGGACAGACCATGGTGCTCAATCAGAGACAGGCACATCAATCTTGCAGCTCAATGCCTAGAGGTCTGTATTCAATAGCTAATGACTAGACCTGGTTGCTGGGCTGA